CGCGATCACAAGGAATTCGAAAGCAAAGAAAGGGGAACCTTACACATGGTCACCCCATGCACCCATAGCCGGATCATAGAGACCACCGGGAACGGGGTTGTTGAAAGAATCCAATGTCGGAGTATTATGGATTCGCTTTACCGAGATGGCCTTGATGTCTTGATCATTGTAGACACCAAACTCAATCCCCGCAATGGAGGAGGCCACAGGCCGAGCGAAAGTAGTCATGATTCCCCTGGCAGCCGCTTGAGCGACAAACGACGCTGGCGGTGCAAATTCTGGGACTCGTGGGGGGTTAAAGGCCTGGGAAGCAGAAAAGGCGGGTTCGTCGGTCTCGACGATGCGAAAAGTTTCACCCAACTTTTTTTCTGCCGTGCGACACCGCCGGCGGACCCACGTTGGCACTTGCAGCGCCCCGTGATTTGAGATCCTTTCCTTGTCTCGATTGTTGACGTCTTTTCGCGACCGGCCCCAGATCTTGCTTATTGAGCTGCCTTTCTTCGACTCTCTCACTTCGATCCCATCGCTAGTCTGTCGGTCGCTCTGCTGATCTCCGTGGGTGAGTGGAGCATTCATTTGTCTCTCCGATCATGGCGGACATATCAGGCAACATGCTGAAGCGGCCTCACCCCGAGGACCAAGACAACAACACTCAGAAAAGACCTCGTTCCAATCATGGATCCCCCATGCCAGCCCAAGGCGCACCTGCCGCGGGCAAGGTTGATATTGAAAAGATGGTGGCCGAAGCAAGAGCAAAAGCAGAAGCGGTGCGTGCCAGACTTCAAGCGGCAAAGGGTATATCGCCATCGCCTACACCGGCTGCATCAAGTGCCAGCCCTACGCCTCCTGCCGCCAGTCCAGCCATGTCGAGATTGGAACAAATGAAAGCTAGAGTGGCAGCAGCGACCAGTCGCGCCAATGCTGCTCCTCCGCAACGACCCGCCCCTACGCCGACTCCTCAACCTCCTCCATTCGAAGATGAAGATGATGGCTCGTCGCGAGCTCGAGGTGGTCTGGATGTTGGTCTTCACCCCGCTTTGCTCTCCGATACACTCGAGTTTCGGGGTGCGAAAGGACGGCAGACTTCCCAAAACAAGAGCCGACGTACAGAATCGCCAGCTACCGCGGGGAGGCCAGATCGAGCCGGACTTGATCTATCGGGGCCGTCTATAGAGGAAATCAAGAACAACCCATACTTTGACCCGAACCTTGGTCCGAAAGCAACAGTAGCGAAGCCCCGACAAACGCGACAGCTCATTTTCAACCAGAAGGGCAAATATATACAGCAGGCCGCTGCTCTCCGTCGGCAGGCTCAGTTGGAGGCTATGAAAAAGCGGATTGCGGAAAGAGCACGGCAGGCGGGGATTGATGAAGACTTGGATGTTGAAAAGGCTTTCCTCGTGCCAGCCCCTCCCGCAATTGAATGGTGGGACGAAGGCCTAGTAAACGGCGAGGATTATTCTAGCATCGAAGATGAACAAAACCTTAAGATCGACACGCCTGACTCGATTATCACGCAATACGTACAACACCCAGTTCTTCTTGATCCTCCGCAGGAAAAGCTACTACCAGCACAGAAGCCTATGTATCTCACGCCAAAGGAACAGGCGAAGATCCGTCGCCAGCGCCGCATGGCAGATTTGAAGGAACAACAAGCGAAGATCCGACTGGGTCTCGAGCCAGCGCCTCCACCGAAGGTCAAGAAATCGAACCTGATGCGAGTCCTGGGTGAACAAGCCGTCAAGGATCCCACGGCTGTGGAGGCACGCGTGAACCGTGAAATCGCAGACCGTCGTGAGAAACACGAGACTGCGAACGCGGAGCGCAAACTTACCAAAGAAGAACGCCGAGAGAAGCTTGCCCGGCAACAGGAGGCCGATGCAGAGAAGGGTATTCAAATGACCGTTTATCGAATCGACAGCCTCGCCAACGGGCGGAACCGCTTCAAAATCAGCAAGAATGCCGAACAGAACGCTCTCACAGGAGTATGCGTCATGCACCCTCGCTTCAACCTCGTGATTGTCGAGGGAGGCTCCCACTCTATCAACAACTACAGAAAGCTCATGATGAACCGGATTGACTGGACCGAGAACGCTGGCCCGAACGCGGTGCGCGAGGGCAACCGCGAGGCCCAAGCCGCCTGGCTAGCAGCTGAAGATGAGCAAACCGGGGAACTGAAAGACCTTAGTCACAATACCTGCGAACTTGTCTGGGAAGGTCAGGTCAAGACCCGCGCGTTCCGGAAATGGCTGGGTGCGCGAGTGTGTGAAACGGATTCCCAAGCTAAAGATGTCTTGGCCCGTGCGAAGCTGGAGAATTTCTGGGTATTGGCGAAGAGTGCCAAACAGAACGAGTCATGAGCTCGATCGCACATGACATGGCATGGCATAGCATTATCACGCTTTCTAATTACAAGTTACTCTTCTGTATCATAAACAAACCCAGAAAGATTTCCCCCACTTTATATCCAGAGACATTAGTATCGTATGTCAGTACACTGTACGCCGTACATTCGACCATGATAATATTGGATGTTCTAAAGAAGCGTGGAGCGATAGTGCAGAATTAGATAAAACTTTTTGATTACCCATCCGGAACCGAATCAAAAAACGATGCCCAGTTAGTAGCTCCAAAAATGCAACCGAACCCGGATAACTAAACAAACGAAAAGAGAAGAATAGCCAGGATCCATTTCCAAAAGGGAACGCATATAGCAATATATAGATCAATCAATCATATCATCACAAATCACGAACGAGGAGGTCCCTGGTTCTGGTTCTGGTTGTTACTTAATTGCCGCAGAAGATCCAATTGTGCTTTCACTTGATCGAAGTTCATCGTCGGTTGTTGGGGTTGTTGTTGTCCCGGTACTTGTTGGTGCTGCTGCTGTTGTTGCTGTTGCTGAAGGGCAGCCAGGAACAAGGGGTTGATGTGCACGTTACCAGGAAGCTGCTGGTACGGGTTAGGTTGTTGATAGGCCTGTTGGAAGGGCATCTGGAAATTGAATGGTGCTGTTGGCATGGCACCTTGTCCGTACGCCTGGGGTTGTTGCGGCTGGAAGGCTCCGAAGGGAGGGAACTGCTGAGGGAGAGCGTACGCGCCTTGCGGGTTTGTGGGGTACGCTGCTTGAGGGTAGGCGTGGGGTTGAGGTTGAGGTTGAGACTGATGAGAGGCCTGCGCTTGGGGCTGGTAGTATGATTGTTGACGATCTTGATGGTGAGGAGCCGACTCGTGGGAGGGACGACCACCGCGGCCACCACCACCGCGACCTCCACGATCATATCCTCGGCCACGGCCACGGCCACCACCGCGGAAGCCGGAGTTGTTTCTGCTGGGGCCGAAGTGGCCGTCGGCTTCAACGGGAGCTTCCTGTTGGCGCATCATCTCGTGCAGGTTCTTCGGCCGGGCCAGCGGAGTGTAGCCGTCGTCAGCGGGGTTATCGTCGTAGTTCAGTTCGCTTTGACCGAGCTTGGAAGGTCCTGGGGGGTTTCTTCTGCCTCTTGCTGGGCCGTTTTCGTTCCGAGAGTCCTTCTTTTCCTGGCGCTTCTGCTTGAGCTTGCGCTTGTACTCTGCCTCCGCTTCGTCGTCGGAGAACTCGACTTCGTCCTCGGCGATCTCTTCATCGTGGAAGTTGGAGGCATCGCTTCCCTTCAGGCCCTTGAGGGGTTGAGTGAAGACGAAAGTGGAGTGTTCCTCGACATAGTAGACATGTGTGCCCTTGGACAGGCCACGCTCGGTGATGGCGGCCGCGGTCGGGTACCGAACGGCATACAGAGGGTTCTCGACCCTTCCGAGAGTCTCGGAGACTACACCGGCGACACTGCGGTTCTCCAGACAGAGTAGCGAGCCGGCTTCCAGCACTTGGTATTCGCCGCTGGTGTTGGCAGTAATGAGGAGTGTGTTCTCGACGATCGCCTCCACCTGACCCAGATGCACAATTTTCATCTCGGGTGTGATGGTAACCTCAGGGATGGGAGGTGCTTCTTCGGGCATTTCGTTCGCTGTTCTCAGATGGCCGCCGGTTTTGCCTTTTCCATCGCCTTCGTCGTCAGAGCCAAGTTCGGCCTGCATCAATATCCGTGCTTGTTCTTCGGGGCTCAGGATGGGGTAGTCTTCGTCGTCGTCGCTGTCATCGGAAGAGTCTGTGGAGGAGTCGTCGGATGATGATTCGTAGGGAGAGGAATCGATTTCCCACTCGGGGTGCTCGTCGTCTTCTTCTTCTTCCTGGGCAGCCTCAGCACCATTAGTGGCAGGTGCCTCCGCTGGTTGTTGGGTCTCCTGCTTCTCATTGGCATCCACATCCATAGCATCGGTAGCGGGCTCCGCCTTAGTTTCCTCCATCTTCTCGGGCTCAGCCTGTTCGGGGGCAGACTGGTTGGTAGAGACAGCATCGCTCTGCTCGCCGGCCGCATTTGTGGTCGTCTGTGGTTGCTGCAGATCTTTGACGTTGTCATTGACCAGGTTCAAACCCGGAATGGGGGGATGGGTTTGTGAAGCGGCATCCGGCTCACTGGTCGGATTCTGAGCGCCATCAACCTGGTCCTTTACAGCGCTACTGTCCGCAGGTGTCCCGACAGCCAAGGGAGTATTGTAGAAATCGCTTCCATCGTCCGCTGGCGTCAAGGCAATGGGTGGCGTATCGATGGTGCAGGGTCTCTTGACAGGAGGACCCTCATTGGGGACTTCTGAAGAGCCCAGAGGCTGAGCAGGGGACTGGTTATCACTCATCTTGAAATCTCCAAGGACCACGAAGGACAGTCACCCCAAAAACAAGCGAAAAAGGTGAAATAGAGGAGTGATGAAACTGCGACGGGAACTTTTCTTCGTTCTGGAGAAGCGGGTTGCCGTGGTGCCGCTTATCGATAAGCGGCGCTGCTCGCTTCTTCCGCCTCGCGGGACTCATTCCGGACTCTCTTTCCGACCGCGTCAATTCGACGGCGTCAAGCACAAGTGCGACAATAGGAGGATTCATCATCCGTGGATCATTCCTAGAAGCTATAATGGCACCTGCTCGGAGGACAGGCGAGGCCCCTTCAGGACCGCAGGGGCCAACGCCTACTCCGCGCACCAAACAACGGTATGAGTATTCCTCCAGCTGGCATCTTCCATCCGCAACTGCTAATAAGTCGTGCTATTCTAAAGGCCGCCGCCGCCGCCATTTTACCTACCATTGAACATCGCACTCTACCTTTGCATTATCACCAATGTGATTTCAGCCCTCTACGCGCCGATACAGGATTGTGACGAAGTCTTTAACTTCTGGGAACCAACGCATTATCTCAACCATGGATACGGGCTTCAGACGTGGGAGTACTCCCCGGTGTACTCAATCCGAAGCTGGCTGTATGTCTCTACACATGCCCTGGTGGGCAAAATCGGATCGTTTGCTCTAAGCAGCAAGTCTGCAGAGTTCTATGCGATCAGATGCTTCCTTGCGCTGGTGTGCGCTGCTTGCGAGACCCGTCTCTACTCCGCCATCTGTCGCACCTTGAGCCCCCGCATCGGCCTTCTCTTCCTCATGGTCGTCGCATTCACCCCGGGCATGTTCCATGCGTCAACCGCCTTCCTACCATCTAGCTTCACCATGTATATGTCGATGCTGGGTCTGACGGCGTTCTTGGATTGGCGAGATGGCCAGAAAACGGCGCAGGGAATCATGTGGTTTGGGCTCGGGGCGATTGTCGGCTGGCCGTTTGCCGGTGCTCTCATGCTTCCTCTTCTACTGGAGGAGGTTGTCATCGGCTTATTGTCATCAAACATGAGAGGGATGTTCTTAAGCGTCCTGGATGGCGCGATGAGGTGTTTTGTAATTCTGGTATGACTTCCTGAATGGCCTCCCCATCTTGCGTTTTGGCTAACACTCCCAGGCTCTTGAAATTGCCGTAGACTACGCTTTCCTGCGTAAACTTGTCATTGTACCCTGGAACATCGTTGCGTACAACGTTTTTGGCGGAGAGGGAAGAGGTCCCGATATATTCGGGGTTGAGCCTTGGACCTTCTACATCCGGAACTTGCTGCTCAACTTCAACATCTGGTTTGCGTTCGCTATGGCCGCTGCGCCGCTGCTTGCCCTTCAGGCGCTTTTCCGCCCCAAGGCGACTAGTGTGCAGACCTTGCTCAGAACCGTGACACTTATCACCCCGTTCTACATGTGGTTCGCCATCTTCACAGCTCAGCCGCATAAGGAAGAGCGGTTCATGTTCCCAGCATATCCATTCCTCGCACTCAATGCGTCCATCGCCTTCCACATGATTCTGTCGTTCGTTGGCTCCAGTAACCCCAATGTGTCAGCTGGGAGTATGTTACCGAAGATCAAGCTGGCAGTGATCATGTCAATAATCCTAATGGCCCTCAATTCTGGTCTCCTGCGGATTTTCGGGATCATGAGCGCCTACAATGCTCCGCTGAAGGTATTCGAACCGTTGGCACAGCCCGGGGTCGCCCAGCCAGGCGATACGGTGTGTTTTGGCAAGGAGTGGTACCGGTTTCCCTCGTCCTTCTTCCTCCCCAGCGACCTGCGGGCCAAGTTTGTTCGCAGCGAATTCCGAGGACTGCTTCCGGGTGAGTTTCCTGAGGCTGCGGACTTCTCTGCGCTCTTTGAAGGGACGTCGCGGATTCCCACGGGCATGAACGATCGCAATGAAGAAGATCTCGGAAAATACGTAAGTTCTCGGTCTTTCCTTCCTCTCTCTCTCGCATGCTTATCTTTTGCTTAGACCGACCTCTCGCAATGTTCCTTCCTGGTAGACTCGGAGTTCCCGAGCCGGAAGGCAACCGAGCTGGAGCCAGATTACATCCACGAGGACACGCAGTGGGAGCAGCTGGCGTGTCATAGCTTCCTGGACGCATCCCAGACGGGTCTTCTGGGGCGGCTGATCTGGACTCCGGATTTGCCAATCACCCCAGAGCCTCTTCGGCGGAAATGGGGCGAGTACTGTCTGCTGCGGAGACGCAGCGACGTTACAGTAAACGCTGCATAGATTGGCTATGGAAACGTGGGGTTCAAGCTACTGTACATAGATATCTCCCCCGGTTACCCTTGTTCGTAAGGTGGATGCGCGCCTGCAGAAGAGAAGTCATGCTGAAGCCAACGCTCGAATGAGCTTGGCTGGCGGTGTGGTGGCCTTGCCGGATTGGGGAAAGATATCCTCGGGTGATAAGAGGGTTTGCAGGTAATGCAGCGTCAATCAATCCCGCTGGCTGTTATCTTCAACCCACAGCTTCTGGCTGGAGTTCATTCTCGCATCGCATTAACCCTTCTGGCAACCCACCCAGCGCCCTTCTTCATTGGTGCGCTTGCACCTTGCGCATCATCTGCATAGCTAGTTCCACCCTCTCTCTCTTACTTCGTATGTATCATATATCATATCCCCCGGCATCCCGGGACTATCTCCGCCATGGTGGTAGCACAGACGGGTTTCCGACCACCGTGAACCATTTTCAGTCATCATGTTTCCTAATTCGCTTCATTTTGGCCAATCTCCCATCTACGACATCGCCCTGATCAGTGCGGTAACCAGTATCGGCGTCTGGCTCATCACCCGAGCATTTCACTGGTGGACGACAACATCCAAGCCAGACGGACCCCAATCATCAACCCCAGATCTCGAGAAGAAGTCGGTCGCAGTTACCAGGAAACCGGGAGGTGAGCTACCTCCAGCAGTTCCCATATCCAGGTCCATGTAACTGATGCCAATAATGTAGAATGGATCCCATCGGACTTTAAAAGGCCTCCAACATCACCGTATCCCGACTGGGATGTACACACGACCAAGCCCATTCCCTATCGACCATTTCGATATGGACCGTAAGTTGATCCGCCAAGTGCACATCTACAGCCAGCAATCAATCTAACCATCCACAGCAAGTACTTCGTCACGATGGGCCTGCGCAGCATGAAATGGGACGAATGGATTGGTGAGACCCATTCCCAATCCCACACCCTACCCCTTCACATACTAACTATCTCACTAGAACTCGACAACCACTACCTCAAATACCACGCCGACAAGGCCCGTCGCATCGCAGAACGCGGCGACAAATGCTGCAAAACCGCCCCGGAAGCATGGGACGCAGCCATCGAGCTCCTCGAAGAGCTAACCTCCTACCTCCCCGAACGCTACCCAACCATGTTCCAAAGAACCCCAACCGGCCTAACCAACCTCATCACCCACGAAACCTTCAACATAACCCAGCGCCCCCTCCCCGAAGACCCCATGACCATCGCCGCACGCCTCATCCAAGACGACCTCGCCATCATGATCGAACGACCCGACGGCGAATACTACCTCCTAGCGGGCGCCATCCTCCTCGCCGGATTCTGGCGCCTCTCCGACAAATACGGCATGCGACTATCCGAAATCCACACCTCGGGCTCCGTCCCGCAATACACCGAGAAACTCGAAAAGGGAATGATGAATTTCTTCCGGCGCTTGAAACCAGAAGACCCTGTTCTCCGGAACAACTACTTCATCCAAGTCGATGACAGTTTGCCCTGGTCGCATAGTATCGGGTCCGAGGACGCGGAGGAAGTATCGTGGAGCACGGCGCAGAAGAACAAGGCGATTGAGAATCACTGGTTTCGGTCTGAGAGGCAGAGTCTACGACGGTTGCCGAGGTCGGGAGGTGTGGTGTTTACGATAAGGACGTATTTTGAACCCATTACGCGGATTGTGGAGGAGGAGTATGTTCCGGGCAGGTTGGCTTCTGCGGTGAGGAGTTGGGGGGATGATGTCGCGGTTTATAAGGGACGGGAGAGGTATGGAGATGTGTTGTTGGAGTTTTTGGATAGGAAGCATCGGGAACAGCTGGATAGGGGGTTGAGGGTGGAGTTGGAGGATGAGGTGAGGAAGTATCCTCTTTGAGATTTGATTGCTGTCTGTGTTTTTGGTTCTTGTCAATATCCTTGATATACTTACTATCCATGAGAATATGAACATTTATTCAATACTCATTAGCATTGTCTCTAATACTGTTTATATGAGGTAGTTATAAGTAGTAATATATCACAGCACCAACACCATCCCTCTTTCCTATCCCCGTATCCATAACGCCAACTAACCAACCAACACCCCTGAAGAATCACACACACATATAGTAGTCGTAGTATATACTAATCAAACACCAACCTCCACACCCCCCTCAACCTTACTCTTCCTCCCCATCCTCCTATTCGCAAACAACCACTCCCTCTCTTTCCTCCACTCACAGTCATCCTTAAAATCACAAATCCGACACTTCCACGCCTCCATAACCTCCACACCGCGTGGATCCCTCTCCCCGCGCCACCAATGCATCTGATCCGCCACATACGACGACATGGACGTCGGATCGAACAGGAACGACCTACTCCCGAGCACCCGGGGCGGTTGGAGGTCCGCACTCGGCTTTGAGGAGATATATCGTGCCGTAAGTAGTGGAGAGAGAATGGTGGGGTAGGGGTCTAGACTGCGGGGTTGGAATTCGGAGGGGATCGAGGGGGATGCTGTTGGGGGGGAGGAGAGGAAGGTGAGCCGGAGGTGGGATTTCATGAGGGTCCAGAGAGTGGTGAGGGTGTTGTGGGTGGAGAGGATGGTGGTGGAGTCTTGGCTGGAGGACTGGGAGGGAGAGTGTGAGTCGGGTTGGGATTGGGAAGAGTGGAGGTGACGCTGGGGATGCTCGATGGCGTCTTGTGGGGTGGGGATATAGTCGGGGTCGAATTCTTGGGAGGACATGGCGTCGAAGAATTGGTCGTTCAGACCACCGACTTCGTTGATAAAGGCGTCGGTGAAGGGGCGGTTGGGGTCCAGATTGTATCGCGAGGCGAGGAGGTCGATGGTCACGTCGTCGCTGAGGACGAGGCGGTTGAGCATGTGGTAGTAGAGTTGGAGTTGGAGGAGAGTAGGTCGGAATGAGGAGCTCTTGACGGTTGGGACGGAGCCGCTGCCGCGTGTCTTGACGTCGGTGAGGTAGATCCGTGGCTGGTGGGAGAAATTATCGGTTTCCTGGCTGCTGCTGGCCATGTTCATGTCCATGTCCATATCGGAGTCCTCTGCCTTCGCGGGTGTATCATCCTGCCCATAAACCTCCGACAGAAGCCTCCCACCCCCAGTCGGAGAGAGCAAGTAGTCCGACAGCGACATCTGATACTCAGGCAAGATAGCCCTCGACGCCTCAACATCAGCATAATACGTCGCAGCAGTGGCCTCCAGCTCCGGGTCAGGACAGTCATAAGAAAGCTGATCAATCACGCCGGTGACCAGTTCTCCATCCACCAAGCCCCAGACCTCCAACTCCCGAGTAATCCCAAACTCCCGCAGCATGCGCACACCCTGGATGATATTCCAAATCCGCAAGGCCAGCGCATCCTCCTTAGTAGTGATATCCACAGGAACCGTCGTGTAGATTTCATCCTCAAGCGTCTTGTGGATTTTACTCCCCAGTTTCATCGCCGCTGTCCTCGGCTTGCGCCCAAATTTGGTCAGCGTATACCAATACTGTAGCTCACACCATGCCGGCGAGATCAGATCCGTGACTGAAAAGGCTTTCATCGGAGGCCGTCGGAACCTTTCCACAGGTGATCTTGTATCCACCTCAGCATTTTCATTATTGTTGCTGTTGCTGCTGCTGTTGTTGTTGTTATTCTCCCTCTCTATCCGTTCCTGATGACGAGCTGCCTCGCGTTCACGTTCTCTTTCACGCCCTTCTGTCGAATTCGGATGCTCAACTAAACGCTTCGAGTGAAGTTCCACCGTCAGCCACCACCCTGTTCCAATCTCCTCACCACGAACAAACAATAAACATAAATAAGAGATAAGGAAAACTACTAACCAGACGCGGCACGACCGTAGTAGCCTGGAATCGCCGCTGATCTTGCGCCAACGCTGCCGCCACCCGGCCGATTCGCCCAATTCCGCTGCGGCCATGTAGGCTTCTCGCGCCCCAGGACCTTAGGTACCCGGCTGCTTGAGAAATACGCATACTGGTCTTCGATGTCTCGAGCGACAGGTGCGACCTGAGAAGGAGGTGGATCTGCGTTTGCTTCTTCTTCTGCTGGGGGAGTCGCGTGGCGATCCGGGGCGATCTTGGCGAGCAGGTCGGTCAGCAGCGCGTCTTCTTCCGGGGAGAAATCGGAGCCGTAGTCTGAGGTACTACTGCTGTCGTCGCTGTCATTGAAGGCGCCGGGAATTACAGGAGATGCTGCTGGTGGAGGGCAGGACATGCCTGCAATGCGAAGGAGGGAATCATGCCGCGTGTGGTGGAAGATGGTGGCATTGAGAAGGAAGAGTCGCGACGAGATCCAAAGTTCGGGTCTGGGCGCTCGGGTCGTCTCACGTCATATGATGATCAGGCCATGATTTGATTAATATTATGTATTCTTTCTTCTCTTATAATTATTGTCATGTCTCAATTGTTAACGAGGGTATCTCTGCTAATGATCTCTATTTCATGTCTATCTATGTACTGCTCACTCTTCTAAACAAGTTGCCGGCTAATCCATAACCGAAGGGAGTCTATATCTATATCCAAACCAAATCCGCCAATACATCGCAGGGATATCAAGAAGTTAAATCAATCATAGAAAGGAAAATAAAGAATGAATAGCAATTATGCCTTCATAGCCACCGCACCAACACCAGCAGCCACCTCCACCGACGCCGTCCTCTCTGCCTCGACCTTGCGCGCCGCCTTCTGATTCAACCAACTCAAATACGTCTGCCACCCAACAGCAATGACACCGGAAAAGATGCTCCGGAACTGAGGCCCCACATACATGAAGCTGAAGGCCGTAACGGCCGGCCACAGCTTCACACTATTCGAAATACTCGTCGGTAAAGCGACCTTGAGCCGCTCAAAGGTCTCCTCCAACGACTTGCCCGTCATCAACGACTGCAGACCGAAGAAATAGGTATTGAACACAGGAGTAAACACCGCCTGCTGCACGCAGACCTTGGTCAGGATGGAGAGGAACTTGGACGAGTAGTTGAAGTTATGGTGCAGG